CCTTGTGGTTCACAGTCCAGTGCTGATCCTACGGAGCCACACCGAGAACTCCTTTAATTTATTTTACCAGTGTTTTATAGTTTTCAGTATACAAGTTAACCTCCTTGGTTAAATTTATACCTAGGTATTTTATTCTTTGAATATTATTGTAAATGAAATTGTTTTCTTATTTACCTTTCAGTTTGTTAATTGCTGGTATATAGAAAAACAATTTGATTTTTATATGTTGATTTTGTACCCTGCAACTTTCTTGAATTCATTTATTAGTTCTAGTGGCTTTCTTTTAGACTTTTTGGGATTTTCTATATATAGAATAATCTGTGAGTAGAACTAGTTTTACTTCTTTTCTAGTTTGATGCTTTTCATTTGAGACTTTCTGTTTCTTCTTGACAGTCTGTATAGTTTATGTATCCCTAGGAATTTCTCCATTCCTTTTAAGTAATCAAATTTGTTAGCATATAATTGCTCATAATATTCTTTTATGATCTTTTTTATTTCTATAGGATGTGTAAAGTAAGATCTGAAACTTTCATTTCAGATTTTAGCTCTTGCATCTTCACTCTCTTTTTGTCACTCAGCTCAAATTTTGTCAGTTTCAATTAATTTTCTTTTTCAATTAATCAACTTTTGGTTTAATTGATTATTGTTTTTCTTTTTTGTGCTTCATTTATCTTCATTCTAATGTTAGAATTTTTAAAATAATGAAAATATTCAGTGCATTTTTAGAGATACATCTGTGTGTACCCTCCATATATTTGATATCTGGTAAAAGAATGGCAGTTGGATAAAGTTATAATGGTAGCAATATTGAAAACAAGGTTATTGTTGTTGTTAAGAGCCATCAAGTTGGTTCTGGCTTCACTAGTGACCATATGTAGGGTTTCCAAGGAGTGGCTGGTGGGCTTGAACCAATGACCATGTATCTGAAACCGACCTTGTAGTCCAGTGCATGTTCCTGCAGTGCCTTACATCTAAAGGGCATTTAGACAAGATATATGAATAGAGGTCTCTAAAATGTATCATGTCTACTTTCTGAAAATGAAACTTCCATCTGTTTTGATTTTTTATGTTACACAAACAATAAACATATACTATTTGGAATAATGAATTAATTGCTTCTTTTTTTTTTTTTTTACTAGTGATATATTTACTTAACTCGCTAAATAATTGCTTAAATGAACTCTTTTTCTACTAAATGTGATGTTATTGATTGCTGAGTTAGCACATAATTTCAAATATGTGTTTAATACTAGAGTATCAATTTCTCAAACATTGGATGAAAGTTGGCATAAAAAGATTCATGTATCTTATTTTAAGTTTGGCTATACTCCTGTGTCTATGCATAGATTTAAAAGGATTGGGTATTTGCATATTATGTTCTCATTACTTGTACTTATATCTGAACAACAGAAGTAATAAAATGTTTTTTAATAGAGTTAAGGCCTTTTTATAATTTTTGAATCATTTTCTCAACTACTTTAAAACATAGACTTTGTCTTACAATACATTTTAAACATACATGGTATAGTATCTTTATGCTACTAGGTGTTAAGTATAAAGTTTTCATACATAAGACTAGTTTGTGTCCTTGAAAGGGAGCTATAAGCATAAAAAAAGCAAGGAGTATATGCTAGTTTCAAAGAGATTTAATAGGACATTAGATTCTGTACTAAAGACCTCACATCCACATTTCTTTAAAGTGACCCTAAGACCTATGCAAATTCAAATTGAAGCTGAAGAAAATGAAAACAAGTCTACGAGAGCCAAAATATGACCTTGAATTTATCCCTCCTGAATTTAGAGATCATCTGAAGAACAGATTTGATGAATTAAACACTAAAGACCAAAGACCAGAAGAGCTGTGGGATGAC